AGCGCAGTGGCAGTGCCCCTCGGATCATTCGCCACAGCAACAGTTATGGATATACAGGTGTCTCGCTTACTGACAGACTATAAATATAATCTATCTGTACCACAGCATCCATGAACGAATAAAGACACTTATCCAGGACATTTCCTGTTTCACTAAACGTTGCTAATCCGATGTCATCCCAACACCTACGTCACAGACGACCTCAGTGGACGAGTGACTTGCACGTTGGTTTTCACGGTGGCGCCATCTCAGGGTCCCGGGGATTCCGGGCCGGGTCAGTGTAGAAAACTAATTTTTATATATTGTCTCGGGTCTGGGTGTTTGTGGTACCGTCGTTGTTTCCGATTTCCATGACACAAATCCTTTAGCTACTTACTTTGGGATCAGAGCAAGGGATGTGATGTTATCTAATATTTATTATTTAACTGCCTTACTGCACAATTAACCTAACATGAGATGAGATGCCGACCCAACCGACCGTAACCTATGAACTTCGTGACCTGCTGCCACACGAATTGAAGGTTTCAAATCAGACCACACCATCGTCAGAAACTGCCTGCCATCGCATCATCGTACTTAAATTGATACTTCTGTCACAGATTATTTAATAGTAACTACATAACAGATACATCACTCTCATATAAAATCGTAGAATACTAAATGTAAATAATGAAACCAAGCGTTCACTATAAGGAAAAACGAACCTAAGCACGCGCTTAAAGAGGTGCAAATAACGTTGCCCGCCGTGTGCAGTCGTGCGGAACCGAATGCTGGGATTGTACAAGGATTGTAATGTAAGTGAAAGACTTTTCTGGGCGCTAGCGCTGTCGGTGATACACTCAGCGGTAGGCACTTATCGCGTAACCTCGAGCGAAAGACGTAGCCTTGCTTCTGTCCACACAATAGCACACGTTTGAAAGTATCTATCGGGTTTCAACAAAGCTTTCCAGGTTTTGTGGCTTACGCGGTTCGCACGTCACGAATTGCCAATCGTTTCGTTTCGGTGATACATTGTCTCTTGCGTGACTTTGTTTAAGTCGATTTTCTATCGGGTAGTTTATAATTTCCATAATGTGTCGTTGTCGGATTTATGGGTTTATTGTTGGAACGAAGGGCGGAAACGACGATTACTCACTGCGGTTCCTTCAGCTATTTCAATATTTCTATACCCCGTTATTGTTCGATTTACTCCGTTAGCCAATTTGTTAGTAAGTTTATCATTATATATATATTATAATAGTAATAACATACGTGCTCGTAGATATCTACGAGTATGCTGTATATACACCATATTGCGTTTACTTGACTTCGGTCATTAAATGTGGTTCAAACCAGCTAAGAAGCCGAGAAGAATAAAATAAATATTAGGGGTTAAAGTATGAAATTGCCGTTTTATTGCAATATGTTCTTTGAATTTTCATAGAATCTTCATGGTTTGAGGTTTTCGAATGAAACTTTTTTCAAATGGTTTCTGTGATTTTATTTTTTTTAAATTTGAAACATTTGAATATCGACTTTCAATTGTTTTTGTTATTCAATTTAGACAAGAAAGATGGATACTGCGAAAATTCGAGTGATTTTTGAATACGAGTTCCGACGCGGAACTAACGCGGCAGAAACAGCCCGCAATATCAATGCTGCGTTTGGAGAGGGGTCTACTAATGAACGCACCGTGCGATTTTGGTTTAAACGCTTTTGTGATGGAAATTTCGACTTAAAGAACGAGGCACGAGGAAGACCGCCCACACAGGTGAATAACGATGAATTAAGAGAGATAGTGGAATTCGATCCTAGTCAAACTACCCAGGAATTAGCGGCATGGTTTATTACCTTACCCACAATATTGACTCACTTGTGTCAAATCAATAAAATAAAAAAATACGAAAAATGGGTGCCTCATGATTTGACTGATCTGCAGAAAGAAACGCGTGTTGAAACTTGTGTTGCCTTGTTGAACCGGTACAGAAATGAAGGAATATTGGATCGAATAGTAACATGTGATGAAAAGTGGATTCTTTATGATAACCGGAAAAGAAAAATGCAATGGCTGACCCCAGGTCAAATGCCACAACAGTGTCCTAAAGCAAAACTTACCAATAAAAAGGTAATGGTAACTGTTTGGTGGTCTCAGCATGGTGTTATTCACTATAGTTTTCTCCGATCTGGTCAAGCAATAACGGCAGACGTCTATTGTGCCGAACTCCGAACCATGTTGACAAAACTAGCAGTAAAACAGCCCCGACTCATGAATCGATCTTCACCATTATTGCTCCACGACAACGCGAGACCTCACACAGCACGAGAAACCATTTTGACCCTTCAGGAACTGCAGTTAGAAACCATTCGTCATCCTCCGTATTCACCAGACCTTGCTCCAACGGACTACCATTTTTTTCGTGATTTGGACAATTATCTACGTGACAAGAAGTTTTCTTCCCAGGAGGCAGTACAAAATGCTTTCACACAGTTTGTGCAGTCTAGATCGTCGGAGTTCTATCGCAAAGGCATTAATAACCTTCCCATTAGATGGCAGCAATGTATAGATAATAATGGCAACTATTTTGATTAAATAAATTTGTTAAAAATTTAAAAAATAAACAATTTAGATTTTCAGTACAAATCGGCAATTTCATACTTTAACCCCTATTAATAATAATAACGCACACACTAAACATAGCCCCGCACTAGGGAAAAACCCTGTGTCGCGGGTGGCATGGACGCACACATAGACAACCACAAATTACACCCAAACTCACGAAAGAAATAAATATAGGCCATATAAATATTTCCACCGACCCGGGAATCGAACCTGGGACCTCTGAGTGGCATGGTAACCGTTCGGCCACTGGGGCAGTTTGCTATTATACTATTCCTTGCAATACTTCTAATTTTCTTGAAACCACTGATCATTGTAATTCTAATAAGACTTCAGTGAGATTCTATTGCAATTATGATAATATTAGTTATTCTGTTAAAATCTAGTTGCAATGGTAGTTGAGTCTCAATATATTGACTGTGGAATGGCAATGGTGGCATTCGTTCATTAATCGAAGTTGCCTTACTAAAACTACCATGGAAATTACTGTATAATATACTTAATAAACATATATGTATATTGTTAGTACTCGATGCCATCGACTCGCCCTTCAAGAGCGGAATACCAAAAAATTGCAATGGCAGTTCAATAGTAGCTATAGAGCTACTATTGAACTGCCATTGCAATTTTTTGGTATTGTTAATGTTAGCCATAGGGCTAACCACCAATGACGAGGCGTGAAAATTTACGTTAGTAAAGCCGGTTCAAAAAAAAATCTTAAGAAAAACTTTTTTTTTCCTAAAAGGCGTGAGTAGCACAATAACCCAATTAGACCAAAGCGGCCATTTACAAATAAATGGTACATGGCACTTGTTAAAAATACTGAGAAGACGCTTTGGCGAAACTTAAAACGACACTTACTAACAGACAAGACACTAGTAAAGTTAATTTCCCTGGTTCCATAACGCTAAATATAAAATTTATGACTTTATTTTAACAATTAATTACTTGTAAACAAACTTTCATATCGCGAGAATCGCGACAAGTGAATGCAATTATTGCCACTTTACTTTTTAATTGAAACAGCTAATTGACACGAACTTCTCTTTACATAGGCTAGGCTTTTTAAAACAAAACACCTAAACAAACATTTTTGTAACGCTATTTATCGTTCAACATTTACAAAATCTTAATAGAGCTTTTTTAATTAATATGTTATTATAATATTTGTTAATAGCAAAAAGAGTTTTAGACTTGACTACAATCTTTCCTAAGAAACATTGGCGGCAAGTTAGTACGGATCTTTAAAAATCAACCTTCACGCTATGTGTTATAAAGTTTAAATTTAAGTAAATATTCGATCATAACTCCATCATAATGTACGATTGCAGACTTTTGCGAACGTGTGCGTGTATTTTCTTGTATGTGCGTAGGTTTTATGAATGAAATGATAGTCGAAAAATTACCGGCTTAACTGGGGCTGTGAATGGTTAATAAGATCCATCGGGAAGCTCCGTATTATCAAGGACAGGTTCCTTTACTATACGTTTATTAATATTTTGAGTAAAGTTTTTAAGTAGTGTAATAGTTAAGATAATAAAAAAACTATTTCATTGATAATTCGAATGAATAGAGAAGCCATTTAGCACTTTTTTTTTTCAATCAACTTGCTATTGAATATCGTCAGAAAAATCTTGTTGAAGTTATCCCATGTGCTGCACGACATAACTATTACGTAAACTGACACTCCCCCGCACTGCGCAGCTACCTCAGGAGCCGACTCAGTTAAGCTGTAGGTATGTGGTAAATATACTCCACCTATTTCTCTAACGATATCTTGTTATTACAAAGTCAAAGTCAAAGATTATTTATTCCATAGGTAAAATAAATTTACACTTGAAATCGTCACATTTAAGCTACTGCTCGTTTACTACGCTGACCTCCCTGAGAAGAACGCGCAAGAAACTCTAGGGATAGCTCTTTTCAAATAAACTTAAATGCTATGGAAATACACTTTGAATCAAATTTGTGTGGATTCTGGAGCCATGTGTCTTTCCATACATCTTTATCTAACACGTAGTCTTCAATTTTGTAATATGATTTTTCGATCAAAATATTTTTAATGTAGTTTTTAAACATAGGAAATTATAAACTTAATATATGCTCCGGAATCTTATTGTAAAAACGTATACAGTTCCCCATAAAAGAGAGTTGTTTACCTTGGTTAAACGAAATCGTGGTACCATGAGTTTGGACTTAGCTCTAAGGTTAATATTATGGATATCTTCTTTCTTATTGAAATTATGTATTTTTTTACGAGCATATAAAATATTTGAGTAAATGTACTGTCATGCCACAGTCATGATACCAATCTCCTTAAACTTTTCTCTGAGAGAAACCCGAAAGCCTAGACTTTACACAGACGTAACATAGACTGTCTCAAATGCTATCGTTTCTATTGTAGGTGGTGGAGCCAATCAACCGATTGTTGGAGACGGTGCCCTTCGACTGCGTGTTCTACTCTCTTGACTGGCATCCTCCGGACCACGTGTCCTTCATCGACAACGTGCACATGAGAGAACTGCATCCCTCCAGCCCGGTAAGTAGGTCACCGTTCAACAATATACGTGTTGTTTACTTTTAAGACAATTAAGTTTCTCGACTGTAAAACGTGACCAGATTTCATTGATCCTGTTTTCACTTGATTATTGTGCAAGATGACCGAGTGTGAACTACAGGCATGTTTGTCAAACTTGTTTTTTGGTTTATTTGATCGTTTGCGATATGGTTTGAGGACAAGATGAAGTTTGAAGTTTATTACGATTTATAAACTACCTAATCAACCGCCTACTTTTTTATCAATATAAAAAAGACGAAAAGAATACGTAATACTTCATAGTTAAAGAATAAAAAGAATATTAATCATACATTGTAAATAATCTTTTTTTGTTTCGATTTTGCATTTTTATAATTGTAAATATATTTATGAATTACGTGGAACTAAGCACGTACACTATTAATAAGATTAGTGAAAGATAATATAGATTATTTCTTCTTTTTTTTTGTGTGTTGATTTATCGAGAGATTATAGCTATCTATTAAAATATAATTTAAAACATCATGATTGTCTCATATTGTGTACAAGCAAACAATAATAGCAAGAAAGTAATAATAACTTTTAAAAGGTATTTGACTATATTCTTGGAAATATCAAGTCAGAATTGGAATCAGACTCTAATTGTGAACTAATAGTATCTCTATTCTTCTCTTTATAGTGAGTAAAAATCCTTCTATTTTTATGGTCAATGTTTGCTGTTCCTTAATGGTGGTCTTTTTAAAACTGCTGAACTGCTGTTCAGGTATTGACAATTAAATAACGGTCTTATAAGACATTACGAGACACCTAAGAATATTGTGTAAAAAATGTGCTAATTAATGTCTTACACGATAGGAAGTGCTTTATACGAGCATGATCTTATAAATATTTGAAAACAGGCTAAAAATAATTCAACAATAAAATATATATCTGTACACAATTTTTATATGGAGGTATTTCTCATAAGTACTATACAGTACCTGCTAAATTCTGGTTTTCAACTGAAACCCTATTAGTTATTAAACTCATATTTATCCCAAAATTTGCAAATTGCCTAGCTGTTTAACGACACGCCGCGCCGCCCGCTGCCCCGTCAATTGCCTTCAGACGCTTGTCGACGTCGCATCTGTGTCGAATTTTCTCCTCCTGTTCTAATTTTATTCATGTTAATTTACAACGCGCAATTTTTTTTAATGTCAAGTGACGAGACGAGCAAGATCGTGCGGCCTGATGGTAAGCTACACACCTGTCCATAACTATTGCTACACTCGAGGTTTTTATCGCAAAGTTAACAGTACCAACCGAAATACAGTAATGCCCACATTACGCTTGCTTGGTGGCAAAAGTAGGTAAGGCGGCAGCACTACCCTGGACGAACTCTTCCACAAGGATAATTTTCACTTTCATTTTCAATTTCGGGACACGAGTGGCGACCCCCAACTCACCTCCTAAAATCTAGACGCGCGTTGAAATGGACGTAAATATTTTTATACAGAAAAGAATTGACAAAGGACTTTAGACACACGCAATTAAATAAACTTCGCCCACACACTTTCAACTTTGCCAATCGTCTGCAATGAAAGTAGCTATCAATTCAAAACTAGGGCCGGCCAAGTTTTTAAGTAGTCGTAAAAAAAGTTGCGCGTATCTTTGCGGCATATCACTATAGTCATGATTGATAGTTTAAGTACATGTGATAGGCGAGCGATAAACATGCAACTTGAATCGCCATTTTTATGGACTATTTTATGGTACCTCGTATCTTCTAACGGCAGTGGATGCCGATATTGCCACTTATGAACCATCCTTTGACTTGACGTATACCTTACGAGGTTTATTTTGGCAAAAAAGTAAACTGAACTCCAAATATCATCAACCTATTATACGTTTCGCGTACAGGTCTTTTCTAAGGGGAAGGTCCGAGAGTTGAGAACGTCCTTCGTTGTGCATGATTCATCATGTAACCCCTTAACATTCATTTCATTCATTAGAATAATGACCAATCTCAAAATCAACTCATTCATCAGGAAGGTAGTTTAAAAACAACTGCCCCCGTAGCATGCTCGATAAAGCTATTACATCCTGCTTTTTTACATTAGGCTGTCAAATTCGAGTGATAAAATTTTATCACTATAGCGAACATAGCGAGCACCATGACGTCACATTTTATGTTATCGCAAGCGCCGGCGCACTGACTGCAAAAGATTAACTCAGCGCCAAACATGGCTGCAAAGTCACAGCTGATTTTAAAACATTTCCACATTAATTTTATCAATATAAAAGTTGAGCGCGACAAACGAAATGAAAAGACATTTTTCGTTTCATCGTTTTCGCGGCGATGATAAATCGACAAAGATAAGCTACATACGCGATTTTATATCGTTATCCTTGTTCTTCAAAATGTATAACAATAGTTCATTACCAAATGAACAAACTTAGATTTATCAACTGAATTAAATATTGTCACGGGGAGGTCTAACACACATATTCTGCCATGCTACCGTCACTGAAGCATATTAACGTGCAAAGGCAGACTAATCGTACAACTGATGTTCTCACTTGTTTATTTTAACCAATCAGCTCGGTTTGTTTTTCGCAACAAAATTTGGCACATTCGGAATGCAGCTATATTACAAGATTAATATAAACTATTTTGGTTTGTGCCACTATTCTTGAAAAGCAGCGAAAAGTGCATAATTTGAATATTAAGGTCATTGGTACATGCTGAACAAGGACCAATAATTCAAGAGTGCTGCTAATATCCATACAATAGATCGTAACTCTGAAAAACGTCAAAATCCCGTCTTATACCAAGATGGCGCTGATCAATAGCTTGGAAGTAGTTTATATTATATAAATGGCCGTGGATGTCATTTATTTCCTCTTTAATATGAAATCGTCGAGTATATAACCAAAAATAGAGACGAAATGTCATTTAATTTGTTTGAAAACTATTCTGCCAAATCATTACGGTGACGACTGCGCTCCGATTGGCCAACCCGAATTCGAAGCAATTGACCAGTGTCGTCGATTGTTTCACTTCAAATCGACCAGTTTAACTTGTGCTTTAATATAATAGACGAACATTTAAAAAAGTTTCCCACACCACTGAATGTAACAGCCCCCCATAGTTAGATATATTATCTTTATTACAATAAACACAGAATATTTTTGGAGTATACGGAGACGTCCACACAGGTCAGTTGTTGGCGCTGTACTATTTCAGCTTTCTGATTTACGATTTCATCGCAAACGAGAGTTGATATTTAATGATCTAAGGCCCATTTACCTGATGAGTTGCATGGAACGGATGGCCTTTATTTCGTCTCTGTTTCTGGTTATATACTCGATGTATGACATACAAGTAGTCAGTTGTATTTCCTTGTAATATTATTCAAATATTGACCATCAGTGAAAATTATTTTCTGATCTTCAAATATGCATATCAACAGATGGCATTGTGTGTTACAAACTAACTTATAAACTATCGCTTGCTAATATAGGTAGGTGGCGCTATTTCTAAACAAAATAAAAGAATAGCCGGCATTGTCCATAAAAATCAGTGAATTAAGCGCCATCTATTTGATTTTTTTAGTGAAAGTACCTTTGATAAAATGCAGCTCGTCAATGTAATAAACAAAATAGAAAATCTCTCTTTATTGCCTCCTAGTTAAACAAGTAAATATTTAGGAATGAAACTATTTTTCCGGATTTAAATCGCGTATATTTGTTTT